ATTAATTTATATATAATTTTTACATTTTTATTATTATTTATTAAAAAAAAATTAATATAAACTTATTTATTTATTTTTATAAAAAAAAAAAAAAAAACTATATAAACTAAAATAATTTTTTTTATAAAAATCCAATTTATATTAAATTACTATTTTATAAAATATTGTTATAAAAATAATAAAAATGAACTTTTAAAAATTTTTTAAAAAAAAGAATAAAATAAAAATAAATAAATATATAAATACAATTTAATAGATTATAAAATTGTATATATATATAAATTTACTTTTATTTATATTATTATTTTTTTTGAATGAAAAAATTTATAAGGGTTTTTTATTTTATTTTTTAGAAAAGTTAAAAAAAAATAAAAATTTAAAATCAAATTATCATCAATAATATATAGATATTTATTAAAGTATTTCTTTCTCTTTTTCTGTTGCTCCGTTTCTAGAGCATATTTTTTTAATTAATTTCAAAGCCTTTCTAAACCTGTATCCAGAATTTTAATATTTAATTTCTTTAATACTTGATTAAATTGTTAAGTCTTTGTTTTATTTTTCTATTTATTAAATATAATCCTAAATTAAATTATGTTAATTATTTGCTAAAGTAAATTAAAACATCATATGTTAATAATAATTCAAGAAAACTTGTTATTATAAAAAAATGCTTTAATCTTATATGATTGGATTAATTTTATTATTGTTATTTTAATTTTTACTAAATTCATTTAAAACTTTATTAGAAATCTTTTTATTATTATTTTTAATTTTTTAATTTTTTTTAAATTATTACTTCACTTTTTTCTTCTTCTCCATGTGCGAAATTACAATTTTAATTATATTTGCATTTTCCATCTATTTTTAATTGATTTATATAAATAAACGAGTATTTTTATTTTTTTAATTATAAACCTTATAAATAAAATTTGCAAATATTTGTTTTGTCTATATTTTGTAAAAAAATAAAATAAATAAATGAAGGATATTATATTATATAATTTACAATTTATTGGAATTGTATTTGGCCATTTTAAATTTCTATTGTTTTAATTTTAAGTTAGTTAGAAAAATTCTTTATTCTAATTTATATGTATATATATATAATATTTTTTGTTAATAAAATAAATATATATATATATATATATATTTAATTTTATATAAATATTTTACATCTAATACATTTCTAAGCTCTTTTTCTCCCTAATTTTATATGATATAAAATATATAAATTAATTTGTTTTTATATTTGATTTTTTTTTAATTTAAAAATATTTTTAAAAGAAATTACATGTGCAAAATGGCAATTATTACCTCTTGTGCATGAATGTACTTTTTTTAAAAAAATAAAAATAAATCAAATATATTTACGTTTGATTATAAATATACATATTTCATAAATTTGTATTTTAATTTTTTTTTGTTTTTTTGTTTTTTTGTTTTTTTGTTTTAAAAATAAAAAAAAAAAAAAAAAAAAAAAAAAATGAAAAAAATAAAACAAATAAAAGTTGAAAAATGAAAAAAAATAAAATAATTTTATTTTTAAGTGCTTACTTTAAAAAGCACGACAAAGAGCAGTTTTATATTTTGGATTTGGAATTATAATTTATTCGGATTTTTCAGAAGCTGTGGATTCATTTTCTGAAGAATTTTATTTTTTAACAATTTTTTTATTGTCTTGCAACATATTTTTTTTTATTAAATTTAATTTTTATAATATATATTTTTTTTGTACTTTAAATATTTTTAACTTTTTAATTTTTTTTATTTCAATGAATATTTTAAAATAATTTATTTATATTTAATATATATTTTTATATCGTTTTTAAAATATAAATGAAATTAATATTTATTTTTATTTAATAAATTAAAAAGAAAATATCATTCAATAATATATTTTAAATACTTTATTTTTATATAATTATAATATTATTATATATATATTTATCTTTTATCTTTTTTTTTTATTTTTAAAAATTAACAACTATTTTTTATTATTTTTAAAAAATTCAATATTTTTTTACTTTTTTATACGTAATATATATTAAATGTTTTATAATTTAATTTTTTTTCTTAATTTTATACTTTCATAAAATTTAATTTTTAAAAATTAATTTAAAAATATTAAAAAAAAACCTTTTTAATTTATTTATATTTATTAATCCTATTTTTTAATATTATAAACATATATTTTTTAATAACTTATATATTTTTTTTTATATTAAATAAAAAAATATTTCTCTGATATTATTTTAATATATTTTCTTTAAACAAAAATTTTAAAATATTATTAAATTAATTTTATTTAAAAATGTGTTATTTGTTTAAGGCATATTAATTTTTACTATTTTTTTTTCTAATATAAGTTGGTTTCATTTATTAATTTTTAAAGAGTATTTTTTTTAGAAATAAAAATAATATAAAAAAGATTAATTTAAATTAAATTTAACAAAAATATTCAAAGGATATATTTATATACTTATTTTTCACTCAATAAAAAAGTTAAAAATAATAATAAATGTTATTTTTATTGGAAAGAAAATATATTTTTTTATTTAATAATATTCAAATATAATTTTTTTTCAAAATATTTAAAAAGTTTATAAATTATAAAAATATATTATATACAAAAAAAAAAAAATTAAATAAAAGTTCGTAAATATATATAAAAATATTATCAAAAAAATAAAAAAAATAAACTTTTAAATAAAAAAATTAATTTTTTATTTAAATAAATAATCATTTATTTAAAAATTATTGGTTTTTTAGTATAATAATAATAAAAAAGCAATATTTACAAAAAATAATAATTTTTTTTCTCATTTTTAAAGATTTTATTATTAATGCAAAGTTAAATCTTATCGTACAGCTTAAAGTAATTTATCTTTAAATTGATTCTCAAATTAAAAACCTTTTAATTAAAAAATATGATTATTTAGTTCAAAAAGACTTCTTTATTTGAATTTATCTGGATATTTTAATCTATTTTCTTTATAAATTAAAGAATATTCATCAATTAACTAAATATATAAATAAATATATAAATTTATAAATTATAGATATTTATTTATTTTATTTCTATATATTAACCTTTTATAATGTTACGAAATGTTTTTTAACCTCTTCTTAAACACTAATTTAACTTTAATTAATTCTCAAATCTAAAATATTTTTCCCAAATAAATAATCTAAATAATGTTAAAATGCTCTACTTTCAAAGTTTTTTATTACTCTTTCTACTTCATCCATTTGTTCATTTAAATACCTTACTTTTATTTCATCATATCTATCTATTTCAGCTAAAAATTATGGAAAATTAGGTGAAAATTCTGTTTAACTTAATAACTTTTCCTTATAAGAGATATAAAACAAATATTTTAAATTATTTATTTTTATTGTACATTTTACAAAGATATTATTTTTGGATTAATTATAACTTCATATTAATCGATTGGATAATCATTTTATTCAATCCAAAAAGCATCATCATTTTTACTTCTTTCGATAGTATAAAATACCTATCAACAGAAAATATTTGTATTCCCGCTAAACCAATTAATTAATTATCTTTTGCAAATTGTTTTGCAGCATTTATTTCCTGTTTTAGTTATAATGATACATTATTTATAGTTTATGTGTCTTAATATAATATATTGGTTTCATATGAACCATATTGTAAAAGTTATATTTATTATGGTTTTTTTTATAATTTAAGTCTTTATTTTAATGTAATTTTATTTTTAAAAGACATTTTTTATTATTTTTAAGAAAAAAAAAAAAGAGGATATAAATTGCTTTTTATTGTTTTTTTATTTTTATTTTTAGACCATCAATTTATTTAACTAATATAATATTTAATTTATTTTTTTTTTATAGAAAAAATAAAATAAATTTATATATATTTTAATAATTTTTGTTTTGTTTTTAAATAATTTTTTTTTTTTTTTTTATAATTTTAAAAAATTAAACATTCATATAATTAAAAAATAATTATTTGTAAATAAAAAGACAATTATTAAAACTAAAATATTCATATATAAATGTATTATAATATGGATTAAATAAAAAAATAAAAATCGTTTTCTCTTAATGGTTTAAATTAAATGAACTAGAATTCTCAAAAACAACAAAATATATTAAAAAAGATTACCTAAACTTAAAATAAGCTAGATTTTTAAAAAACAAATACACAGAAACTCTCAAAAAACAGTTCTTCGCATTTTTTTTCTATTGAAAATATATCTTTGTAGCACAAACAGAAAATTTATAAGAGTTTTTACGAAAATTAAAATGATATAATAGTTATTCCTTAAAATATATGGAAACAAAAAAAAAAACAATTTATTTCATTTTAATAGTTATGGTAAGATTAATAAGCAAATTTTTAAATTACAAATCCTCAAAATTATGATTATTATCGTTAAAAAAATAATGAAAGTAATAGTAATTAATTTTCGACTCTTTTTAATAATGAAAGGAACTTTTCCTAAAAAAATACTCAATAAGAGTAGTTTATTAAAAGGAAAAATATTTAAATAAAACTTGACTAAAATAAATACTCGTAGAATCTATATAATAATATAATAAAAGAATTTGAATAAACTTAATATAATTAAGCTTTTAAAATATCATAAAATTATAAATAAAAATTAAGAAACCTACAAAAAAAAATAAAAATTTTTATAAAAAAATAAGAAATTGAACATTATCCGTTTCTTCCAGAAAAAAAAGAATCCGAAATAAAATCTCCTACTGAAAAAGATCTAAAAGTTTCCCAAACAGATTATTTCATGTAAACCTATTAACCTTCCATTAATTGCTGTTGGATATAAAAAGACTAATAAAATTAATGGAAACCTATTCCTAGAATAAGTTTTTCATTAACTTAAGTTTTTTCAAACAAGGCATTTTTAATAGGAGGTTTTTCATCTAATATAATAAATGAAATTAGCGTTATAGATTTAAAAGATTACTGTTAATTTCCATTAAAAGAATGGATGTAGAAAAATCCTTAAAATATAATTAACAAAAAAAAGAAGACTTACATATTAGATAGATATAATAGTGTTTTTTAATCTAGATATAACCATACAGCCGTAGAATATTTACCAAATAAGATTCTAGTTTTCGGAGGTGAAATTGTGGATTATAATTAAACTCAATCAAGATTAAAAAACAACAAGATTTTTTTAAATGATACCGTTAGTTTTGACAGTGATTTTTTTTAATGGAAATATCATTTTTGTAAAGGAGATTTAATAGAAGCCAGAAAAAATCATTCCGCATGTATGATTGGGAATGATTAAATGATTGTTATTGGAGGAATTAATAATGATGGAAAAATTTTAAAAGATGCTTTTATTTTAAATACTAAAAAGTTTATTTGGAAAAATATAAATTTTAAAAATAATAAAATTTTTTAAAATGGAATTGCTTTTCATTAAACTTGTTTTGTTTCTGAGGATAATTCTGTTATTTAATAATCTGTTGTTAAAAATTAAAGTTTTAAATAAGATTAAGCTAAAGAGATAGGACTTTTTTTGTTTGGAGGAATTGATGGAAATGATAATTATATTAAAAATTAAATGTTTTTACTAAAATTTAAAAATGATAATTATAATTGGATTGAAGAAGTAAATACTATAGGTTTTTTTTTATTATTATTATATAAAAAAAATGATTTATTTTTAAAATATTATTTATAAAATATTTTTTAATATATGTTTAAGGATAATTACCAAGTAAAAGATGTATGCATTCAATGAATTACTTATAATCAATGTAATTAATTATACTTTTTGGAGGCAAATATGAAACTTAAAAATCAACTTTTTTTTATAATGATTTACATGTCTTAAATTTAAGAAATTTAGAATGGATTTAAGTAAATATATGTGGATAAAAGGCTTAAAATAGAGCTATGCATTAATGCTTTATAAATTAAAAAAGCCTAATTATTTTTGGAGGATATAATGAAGACGGGCTTTTAAAAACTAATTTAGAAATTTTAGAATTCGATTAAAAAATTGTAAAATAAATAAATGAACAAGAAAAACAAAAGTAAGAAAATTAATATAAAATCAGAAATAGCAAATAGATTGATATTGATATTAATTTATAATTAAAAAATTATAATGAAAATGATGATAATAATAATAATAATAATAATAATAATAATAATAATAATAATAAAAAAAATAATAATTATATTAATTAATTAAAACTAAAATTAAATAATACTATAGAAAGTTTATTAATTTCAAATAGTTTATAAGATAAAGCTAATTATTTGAATATACCTATTTCGGTATAAAAAATAGAAAAATAGTTTTAATGAATATACATAAATTATCTTAAATCCTATAAATAAAAAGATTTAACCATATCCTTAAAACAAAACATTTGTTTTGTAAAAAGTTATTTTTTCATTTTTTTTTTTAATAATATTATTTATTTTTATATATGATATTTTTATATAAAATATATTGTTTATATTTAATTTTTTATAAATTTATTTATAAATAATTAAATATTTTATCAATTATTTTAATTATATTTAACTATATATTTATTAATTATTTAATAATTGATAAAAAATAGGTATTATATATAAATTTTTAATAAAATTTTTTTATTTATATTTATACATTTGATAAATACTATTACTATTATATTTATTATTAAATATTTTAAATAATATTTTAATAATTTTAATATGTATATATTATACTCAAGGAAATTTTCTTTTTTAACCTCTTATATTCAAATAATATGACTCATTTTATTCATATAATAATTTTTCATTTTTCATATTTTTTTATAATTCTTATTTTCTTTACTCTATGAAATAAAAGAATATTATTAAATATATAAATAAATTTTTATCTACCATTCTCAAGTTTTCTTATCTTATTATTTCTCTCATTAATGCTTTTTTTCTATTAAAATCATCTTCTAGCATTCCTCTTTTATATTTAGATTAAAATTTAATTTAAAGTTTTAATAAATAATAATACCTCATTCTATTTAATTCTAATGTTTATTATGCGTAAGCTTATTCTTCTTATTTATATGCATCATCAATTTTTTTTTTTTCTTATAATTATTATTCAATCCATTTTTTTTATTATTATTTATTAAATTAAACTCTCGAATCATAAGCTTATTTTATAATCATAAATATAATAAAAAAAATTTTATTTTAAAAACCTAAATCTTCACCTTCTAATTCTTTTACTCCTGAAATTCCATTTGTATAAGGAGGAGACAAATAGTCTCTAAAATAAGTTTCTTTAATTCTTTTCATTTTTATGTAATAAATATTAAATAATTGATTATATTAAATATTTTTTTTTAAAGGTAAAGAATAATTTATTTAATTTTTATTATAAAAATAAAACTATCTAAAAATTATTATAACAAAATAAAAATTATAATTTATAGATATATATATATATATATATTATTATATATATATATAAATTTAATTATAATATAATTTTCATTTATAATTTTTCTATTTTCTTTTTTCAAGAACTTCTCTTTCCAATTTTTCTAAATCTCTTTTAGTATCAATATGTTTTATTCTAGCTGGATTGAAATAATCAGGATTAACCTCAAACAAATAATCGCCTTTAATTTCCGTAACAGTTCTTATATAATGCCTTTTAGTTAATACAAACTCATTATAAATGACCCAATCAGGTTTATTATCAATCACCGAAGAAGGGTGAATAGCTACAGTTTATACATCTTTAAATGCCATATATGCCCCATTTCTTTATAATTTAGCGACTTACATAAAGAAACCTGAAAGTAGGCATTTTTTAACATTTTCGAAGTTATTATTTCCACAAGAAATAAATACTATAGACATTTTTAACATAATCTACTTTAATTAATCCCTGACATCATCTGCTGATTTCAAAGATCTTAAATTAAGGAAATTTTATTTACACCAATCTTAGTTTTCTTTTTTTATTTATAGGCATTGTAAGCATTTAACATAGTCAAATGATCACCATCTGGATTACAGAATTTTAGTTTGGCATCATCTGCCTCCCTTTATAATTCTTTTGGTCTTTAGAATATATTAGGGACACTTAAAAGTGCTACTATACTAACAATTTCCTCTGAACATTAATATTATGGAGAATTTAATAAAATCTTACTTAATTAAGGTTCTAAGGGAAATTCAGCCATCATTTCTCCTATTTTAGTCAATTCTCCTTCGTCATCTAGCGCACCTAAATCATTAAGTAATTCTAAAGCCCTCATAAGTGTTTCAGGAGCAGGAGGGTCCATAAAATCAAAGTGTACAAGGTCGTTTATACCTAATTTCTTTAATGTAAGGACTACTGAAGCTAAGTTGGATCTTAGTATTTCAGGATAGGTATCTTCTATGAGTTCGTTTTTGAAAGATTGCTCGGTGTATAATCTGAAACATTTCCCAGGACGAGTTCTACCCGCACGACCAGCCCTTTATTTAGCAGAAGCTTTCGAGATCGGGGAGACTAGTAAAGATTCGACTCTCATACGGGGATTAAAGACTTTTTATTTAGAAAAGCCGGGATCTATTACGTATACTATTCCGTCTATTGTCAAAGAAGTTTCGGCAATGTTTGTAGAAACAATTATTTTTCGGCCAGGAATTCCCTTTTTATTAATTGGAGGGGCTGAATCGAATATTTTTTATTACATAGAGGGTGGTAGGGAAGAATATAAGGGTACTACGCTAATATTTCCTACTGAATCACCTTATTTTTATATTTCTTATTTAATTTATTTACATGCATTTTCTATTTCCTCTTCTCCGGTTAAAAATACTAAAATATCTCCCTCTTCCTCATACATATGAATCTGTATTACAGTCCTAATAGTGGCTTCTACGTAGTCTTTTTCTGGTTCGTGAGTATAAAAAATCTCCACAGGGTGCAATCTTCCAGGAATATCTAATAAAGGTGCATCTTTGAAGTAGTTTTAGAATTTCTCTGCGTCCATAGTGGCGGACATAACTACTACTTTTAGATCTTTTCGATTCTGTAAAATTTCTTTTAATAAACCAAAAAGGATATCAGTGTTTAGAGTACGTTCGTGGGCTTCATCAAGTATTATTATACTATATTTTTCTAATAAAGGGTCATGCATAGCCTCACGTAATAACATACCATCTGTTAAATATTTCAATATGGTCTTTTAAGAAGTTTTATCCTCAAAACGAATTGAATAACCTACTTCTTCGCCTAATATTACATCCTATATATATATTAATTTAATTATAAAAAAAAAATTATAAATATTTGAATTAATTTATTTATAAATAAAATGAATTTATATTTATTAATTATTTTTATAAATTACTGTTTCATCTGCTACTCTTTTAGCGACCGACATTGCTGCAACCCTTCTTGGTTGCGTTATACATATACCTTTTTTACTATTATTTTTTTTATTCATTATATTCATTATATATATTTTTTTTAACCCTTAAATATATTTAGATTCTAATAAAAATTAAGGTATTTATGTCGTTTTTCCTGAACCTGTTTCTCCTTATAATACAATAACTTAATGATTATCAAGTAAATTAAATAATTGTTCTTTAGCTTCCCAAGCTGGTAGCGTTTATCTAACTTTTAATAAACTGTAATATTTTTTTGAATATGGTTTTTATGTTAAAGGATTGATTGTTGATAGTTTTAATTTCTTAGTTTATTCTTGGTTATAATCTTCTTCATCTGGACTTAATTCTAATGCTTTTCGTTTTGTTTGGGTTTGGTATAAATTATTGTCGTAAATTAATGATTTTTCTTCTTTATTTGTATATTTTTTTGAACTCATATTTTTTTGTTTTATTTTTATATTATTTTTTTTTAATTTAACCTTTTTTTTATATTTTTTTTAAATTATAAAAATATTTTAATATAAATATAATCGAATTAAATAATATTTTTTAATTTTTAAAAATATATAAATTTAACTATAATTATTTTATAAAAAATAAAAACATATAACTTTAAAACATAAAGATATTTAAATATAGTATTTTTAATTTTTTTGATTTAATAGATATTTTAAAATATATTAAAAAATATAAAATTATTATTATATCATTGTAAAAAAAAAAAAAAAAATAATAAAATATAATGTTTCATATATTTATTTAATAAATAAAAAATATTTTTATTTTATAAATTTTTCTAATAATATAATTATATTTAAATATTAAAAAAAATATAAATTTTCATTTTTAGCTAAATATTCTAAAAAAAATATTCTGAAAAATTAAATAGACAAACTTTTAAAAATAAAATAATATAAAAATTAATATTTAAAATAAGAAAAAATTATTATAAAAATAATATACATATATAAGTATATATATATATATAATATATATATATTATTTAATTTATTTTTATATCTTAATTTATATAATATATTTAATTTCTTAAAATATTTAATTTTTAAATATATTAATTTTTTATTAATATAATATCTTATATATGTTATTAATTATTATTTTTAAAAATAAAAAGTTTTAATATATAATTTTTATACAAATATTAAATGTAAAATTTAAAAATATTTTTATATAAACTATTATAAAAAGCATAATAATAATAAATTTTAATTATCAATAAAAATATATTTAATATATATAAAATTCATAACTTATATTTTTATAAAATTAATAATACTATCAATTAAAATGTCCTGAATGTTTTTATTATTTTTAAATAATATTAGTTTTATATACTAAATTTTGCTATTGTTTTTCATAAAATGTTTTATTATTTTATTCTTTGCTTTAAAACTATAAAATTTCAAAGTTTTTTTCTTATTAATTAAGATTTTTTTCTTTAAAGGATAAAAATTTATCTTTACTATTTTCTTTTTCGTTAAGATTAATAAAATATTTCTATTCATTAATTTTTTTTTATTTTTCCAAAAACTATTTAATATTATTATTTTCAGTTGGACTAAAAACTTTTTCTTCTAAATTTTTAAGTTTTGAAATAAGATCATGAAAATTATATTTATCTTAAATTTAATCAATATTTTATTATAAATTTAAATTAAAAGAAAACTATTAATTTAAAATGCTGTCAATACTTATATTAATTTAAGACTAATAATCATTAAAAATTTTTTCAAAATCTTTACTTTTTATAATCTAGGGAGAAATTAATTATTTTAAAATATAATTTGTCAAAAATAATGTATATTCTTAATAAAACTAAAATAATTCTTTGATTTAAAGATTATTTTTATAACTAGTATATTTTATATATATATATATATATATATATATATATATATTTATATTTATATATATACATATATTTATTTATACATATAAATATACACGATAAATTATAATTTTTTTTCATTTTTGATATTTTTAACGAAATAATTTATATTTTTTTTAAACTTTAAAGTAAAATTAATATAATTAAATTATAATAGAATTTAATATTAAATGTTTAATATATTTTTAATTATTAAAAAATTTTAAATCTATTATATTATTAAATTATATATAAATAAAAAATTTTAATATAATTAATTTAATTAAA